ACACCACAATGTCTCACAATGAAAAAGAATTTCAGTGCACACAAAGAAAGAAAACAAAGTAGCCAAGACACAGAGCTAGAATACGAAGAAAGGCATTGGGACTATCTGAAAAATTAGGCACTTTCAATGGATTGAGAGAAAGATCAAGAAAAGCAAGAATTTCAAAGAAAAAACTTTGTAAGAATTCATGAACACACTACAGGAACAAATGGACAAAACAGATGAAATATTGAACACAATACAAAACCTGCAAATAGAGATCCAGAAGATCTATACCAAGATTTCAGAAATGGATCAAACTTCAAAAGAGCAAAGGAACAGATTTGAATCAAAGAAAGCCCAAATTAGGGAGATTTAAATTAAATCTCTCAATTCCAGTATGCTAGAAGAACAATAGAACAATGGGCAGGGGGAGAGAGAAAGAAGGAAAGGGAAGGCAAAAACAAAACAAAAACTGAAGGCAGTCTAAGATTTACCTGGGACACCAGAAGAGAAACTGTTAAAAAAAATTAACAGTTTTTCTTATTTTATTCAAACAAGAAAAAACACAACATACCAAAATATTTGGGACACAGCAAAAGCTATGCTCAAAGGCCTACATACAAAAAGAAGAACCAAAATCAACACCTTAACACAACATCTCTAACAATTAGAAAAAGAGCAACAAAGTAAGCCTAGTGACACAAGAAGTAAAGAAGTTATAATAATAATTTTAAAATTAGAGCAGAAATAAATGAAAGAGAAAACAGAAAAAACAATTTTAAAAATCAGCAAAACAAAAATTTGGTTCTTTGAAAGAATGAATAAAATTGATAAACCACTGGCAAATATAACCCAACAAAAGGAAAAGATGTAAACAACATGAATTAAGAAATTATATGGGTGGCATCACAACAGAATCAATGGAAATATGATGGACAATAACAGAATACTAGAAAGAACTGTATTACAACAAATTTGAAAACCTAGAAGAAATGGAAAAATGTTTAGAAACATTTTACCTAACTAAACTAAAACAGACTGTAGTAGAAACTTGAACAGACCTATAACAAAAAAAAATTGATCAGGTCATTAAAAGTCTCAAAACTAATTGCAGGCATAGATGGTTTTACTGGTGAATTCTACCTAACATTCACAGAAAAGCTGCCACCAAATCTATTCAAATTATTCCAGACCATAAAAAAGAATGAACAACTCCGAAGTTGATTTAATGAAGTGAGCAAATACTGATAGCAAAACCAGATAAAGACATACTAAAAAAGAAAATGATAGACCAAATGTGGTGCTGTAGGATAAGCACTGGACTGCTAACCACAGGTTAGCACCCACCAGCCATGCCTCAGAAATCCTATGCAGGATTGCTATGAATCTGACCTGATTCAATGGCATTTAACAATAACAACAATCCCTCATAAACATAGAGGTAAAATTTCTCAACAAAATCCTAGCCAATAAAAGCCAACAGCATATTAAAAAACCAATACATCACAACCAAGTTGGATTCATACCAGATGTTCAAAGATAGTTCAATATTAGAGAAACAATCAATATAACCTACCACATAAATAAAACAGAGGAAAAGAACCAACTGATATTGATACAGAATACAAAAAAGACATTTGACAAACCAACACCCATTCCTGATTTGAAAAAAAAAAAAAAAAAAACTCAACAAAACAGGACTAGAAAGTCCTTAATATAATTAGCGTATATGTGCAAAACCAACAGTCAAGATAACTGTAAATGGAAAGAAACTAAAAGCATTTCCAGAGTGAATGGGAATCAGAGAAGACTGTCCTTTATCACCACTCCGATTCAATATAGAGCTCGAAGCTATAACCAGAAGTATAAGGCAAGAAACTGAAGGCACACACACATTGGCAAAAAAGAAGCAAACTTTTTTCCTACTTGCAGATAACATAATCCTATGCACAGAAAATCCTAAAAACTCAGGAAGAAAATTACTGGAACTCATTGAAAGATTCTACAAAGTGGCAGGGTACAAGATTAACACACAATGAGTAATCAGATTACTTTATACTAATAGAGTTCTGAAAAGGAAATCAAGAAAACAATACCATTTACATTAGCCCCCCAAAAGATGAAGTACTTGGGAATCAATCTAACCAGAGACACAAAAGACCTATACAAAGAAAGCTATAATACACTTCTACAAGAAACCAAAAGAGACCTATGGAAATGAAAGAATGAATCATGTTCATGGATAGGAAGACTTAACATTATGAAAATGTTAACACTACCCAAAGTGATCTATAGATAGAATGCAATCCCAATCCACATTACAACATCATTCTTTAAAGAGTTGGATAAATGAATCATCAACTTTATATGGATAGGAAACAGACCCTGGGTAAGCAAAGCATTACTAAAGAAGAACAAAGTAGGAGGCCTCTCACTTCCTGATCTCAAAACCTACTACACAGCCATAGTTGTCAAAACAGCCTGGTCCTGGTATAACAAAAGACACACCGATCAATGGAACAGACATGAGAACCCAGTAATGAACTCATCCACCTACAGTCAGTTGATCTTTGACAAAGGGCCAGAACACATTAAATGGGAAAAAGAAAGTCTCTTTGACAAATGCTGCTGGTAAAACTGAATGCCCATTTGTATAAGAATGAGACAAGACTCATGTCTCACACCATAAATAAAAATGAACTCAAGTTGGACCAAAGACCTAAATGTAAAACCTAAAACTATAAAGACCATCAATGACAAAATAGGGACAAATTTAGAAGCTCTAATACATGGTGTAAATACACTATCAAACATAACTAAATGGATGAATAACGCCTGCTAAAAATTAGACATTTAAGTGCATCAAAAGATTTCATCATATGAGTAAAAAGAGAACCCATAAAGGAAGAAAAAAATAGTAATGACATATCAGACAATCTCTAAACTTTCTCGAAAACTTGAACACCTCAAAAGGCAAAAGACAAATTGTCCAATTTAAAACTGGGCAGACGCATGAACAGACACTTCATTCTACTCGCTCTTAATCTATAAATCCAAATATTAGTGGATTCAATTAGTAGTTTCTAAGCTGCATTTCATAAAGCCAAGGACATCAAGGCATCCACATACATTCATTTTATGTTTTTAACATGCATTCATTTTATAAATAATTTTGTTCAAAAGTATAAATTAGATAATACATTCAACATTGGTATATACCTCCATTTTATCAATATAAAACCAACTATACATAAACGAATCGGGCTGCGAACCTTAAGGTCAGCGGTTCGAAACTACCAGCCGCTCCGCGGGAGAAAGATGAGGCTTTCTACTCCCGTAAAGATTTACACCCTAGGAAACCCTGTACAGGGTCGCTAAGGGTCGGACCCGACTCGATGGCACTTAACAACAACAACAACATACATAATTTGTACTTGCAAAATAATTTTACTGCACCTTCTTGCTAAATAAACTCTTGTCGGGGACCAGCTTCGACAAGGGGGTTCGGTTCACGAAGTAGGGGGATCTGGTCGCAAAAACTATAGAGAAAAAGTACACACAAAGACGCAAAGAGAGAGAACACAAAACACCCCGAAACCAGATTGGATGCGACATTGGCAGGCGTACCCTGGACTATGGGCATCGTGGCCCCTGCAGGCAGTAAAGCACGGCCCTGCAAACCTTAACGCATGCCTTGCCAGCTGTAACGCCTCGTATGCCAGTCATAACGCATGCAGGCTTGGGTCTGCGCCTCCGTTTTATTTCGGGGAGGAGCTTTACACAAAGGAAGGCGGGGTTTGTTAAGACGGGGTAGAGAGGTGAAATGTGATTAACTGTTCAACACAGGACACAAGGATTTACAGGTACGAATTCTAAGACATACATCACAAATTGTCTTGATAATCTAACATCCGTAATTTTCCAGAAATTCAAGCAAATTATTGTTGTTGTTGTTATGTGCCGTGGAGTCGGTTCCGACTCATAGCGACCCTGCACAGGGTTTCCAAGGCTGTTAATCTTTACGGGAGCAGAACACCTCATCTTCTCCCGCAGAACCGCTGGTAGTTTCGAACTGCTGACCTTACGGTTCACAGCCCGATTCGTAACCACTACGCTACCAGAGCTCCTTTATTAAGTGGTACTTTTCAGGTTGGAATCCCAGGGCAGCAACTCGGTTTATCCAGGCTAATTAACATACCTATAGCACCTAACCTCAAATGGGGGAAGGTGAAAAAAGGATTGAAAGGAATCCCACTGTGTCGGCTGCCTGGGCCAGGTTTGCAGGAGGAAGCAAGACTCCTAGCTGAATGGTTTGCACCTGAAGCCTATCCGGGAAGGCTGACGCTATTGTTCTTTAGATAAAGCCCCGGAAACTTGTCTTCAGAGCTTCTTAGCAAACTTGTTTTTGGAACTTTTTATAGTCTCGGCTTTAGGAGCAGTTTAATATTTGTCCATGGGTAACAAGGGTTCATGTACTAAGTTAATATCAAACATAACTAAATAATTTGATAAAGAACAGTTTGGACGAGCTTGTCCCACGGCCAGAGTTTGTTCCTTAGAGAGATTTGTTCTTAGAACCTTAAGCACTGCCAACACAGTGGCGACATTAAGAGGCGCACATAAGAAACCATTTTCACAGAGGCTACAGTTACAGGAGTTCGAAGCATAGAGTGAATTAAGAGAACTAAAGAGAATTACATAGAGTTGGCCCCACAGTGAGTTCATAACAGCCAATGACCCGGGACGTCCGGAGGTTACTTCCTTGGGCCCACAGGGTCTCTGGTCAGCAGGTCGGAGCGCGGCCACGTGCTGGAACTTTCGTCCATGACACTGGTCCTCAGCACCCCAATACCTGCGGTCTGTAACAAACTCTCTCATGCCATCTTTGTGTAACTAAATATCCCATGAGTACAAATTATGCTATGGAAAATTGAAAACATTTTCTCAGTTATATTTTTTAATTTTAAAAGTAGGAGGAAAATCCAATATAACTAGAGTAACTTTTCTTTGTAACTTACTTCAAAACTGCCTGAAGAAACTGTACTGCAACATGTATGCTGTCTTCAGTGTGAATATTTTTCACATAGAACTGTGGCAGAGAAAGTAGAAAATCCCAGAGAGGAGGCTGCATGTGAAGACGTTCCAGTATCAGTATCATATCTTCAGTCTTATTGAGATCCATCTAGCAGAAGCAGAAAAAAAACAAATACATAGCACAAAAATTTCCCGCCTCAGTTTTATTAGTCAATTAAAGTAGAGAGAGCCAAAGAATGCTGCAAACAGTGGAACAGAGGACCAGTGTTTAATATACATATATGTCAGTATGCCAAACAGACTAGATTTTATATTGTTCACTTATTGTTAGGAGCCATCCAGTTGGTTCTGACTTATAGCAACCCTGTGCAAAATAGAACAAACAACAGCCTGGTCCTGTGCCATTCTCACAAATTTTGTTATACTAGAACCCATTTCTGATGATACTGTGCCAATCCATCTCACTGACCTTCCACTTTACCAAGCATACTGTCCTTCTCCAGAGACTGATCTCTCCTGATACTATATCCAAAGTATGAGAGAAGTCTTGCCATCCTGACTTCTAATCAGCATTCTGGCTGTACTTCTATCAACACAGATTTATTTGCTCACCTAGCACT